AGCAGAGGCACTTATGGACCCTGCACTGGTGAGTATTGGGTGTCCAGCAACCCCCAAACCCAGGTTTTAAGTCAAGGCCAGAGTTTCCTGTTTTGGCAACCAGTGGAACAAAGTGTCTTAGGTACACAGACTGGAAGATGAGACTGAGATGGGCATGTTTGTTGTAGGACTTCTGGGCTGGAGTCAGGCCCGGAGTGATGGCAGCCATGGACATTTTGGAGAGGAGAAAAGTGATCTGTCTTCCACCTTAGTGCAGAACACAGTAGGGAGAATAGGAACCAAGGAGGTGGGAGAAATGTTTGGCATTTGGACTTGTTTTGAAAGTCGAGCTCGGGTTGACCACATTTTACTTGTGGAGGGTGACAGAGAAGTCACAGATGACTGGAAAGATGGAAAGTGTCATCAACTAAAATGGCAAATCAGTGGTGGGAGTACCTTTCAGGGAGATAGTAGGAACGAGGTTTTGGCCATGTTGTCTCAGATGTTCCAGAGACACCCAAGTACAGAGGATGAGTGCACAGCTGGATGGAATCTGGAGTGCTGGGCAAGCTTCAGGATGGAGACAACCAAACTGCAGCATCCAGCATGTGGGCCAAGGTGGAACTTGGGGTCTGATATAGAGGGGGCTGTGTTCAGATCATGGTGGCCTTATCATTAGGGGACAAGGGAAGACAGTTTTTTGCTAAGGTAAGTGGTGAGGGTGGTGAATGTCACAAAGACAAGACTAGTTGGTCACTAGGGAAGGGGAAAGTCTAGCAGGTGGCCCAGGTCTTCATGAGGGATGGAGATGCTTTCAAACGCTGCTCTGCACACACCAGGCTTTGGTGTCAGAACATCAGCTTAGCTTACTTCATGTGTCAGGTGGCTGTTACGTGGACATAGATTGTAAAAGACAGGACCAGAATGTGTGGACCTGCACAGGGTCATGAGTAAGGTTGAAGTCAACCTGGCACTTTATGAGTGCCACGTACAGGAGGGTATGTGAGGAGGCTGGGAACTGCTGCCTTGTGAGTCAGGTGTGTGATGCAGCCTGGTGCATGATGTGCACACAGAAGAGGAATGTGAGCCCCAGGGCCCTAGACTGGGAGCTGTTAAAGATGGGACCAACTTTGGTCATGTCTGGAAGGCATGATCAGGGACTCTCAGGCTGTGAAGGAAAGGGACTCTTAGAGAGTGTGGAGAGGGATGGGGGTCCCATCTCTCGGGTGCAGAGCTTAGATGGCACCCAGGCTGGCCCCTTGTTGCTTAGGTTGGACCCAGCAGTCAGAGAGCAAATGTCAGTAGGGCTAGGGTAAGAACTGCTTAAGGACACAACTGTCCCCCTCCTCACAGGGCTCTGTGACCTTTGAGGATGTGGCTGTCTACTTTTCCCAGGAGGAGTGGAGGCTTCTTGATGAGGCTCAGAGGCTCCTGTACCGCGATGTGATGCTGGAGGTCTTTGCACTTGCTGTGTCGTTGGGTAAGGCCCTCACCTCCCACCCCAGGCCTGTCTGTCTTTCCCGTTTTCCAGGGACAGCTCTATTGTTTTCACAGCTGGGCAACATCCTGGTTCCCTGTTGCAGGTTCTAACTAAGGCTGGCCACGTACCCTGTGCCTCTTTTTACAGTATCCCTGGTAGCAGCTGCTCTGAGACTTTTTCAGCGCAGTTGTTTTTTGTGGGTCGAGAGACTGTCCCACAAAAGGTTCTATCTGCTTCAGCCACTCCCTACACCCCTGTCACCTGTGTGCTCCAGAGTCGTCTTCCTTCTAGCTGACGTTCATGGGGCCTCAGTGTAGCAGGAATTGCAGGGACTCAATGTGATCACACTATTTTTGGAGGTCACCTGGCTGTTTGGCTTCTAGGAGACCCTCCTCAGAGAGCTAAATGTGATATTTTTTCCCCTGTGGTTGTTTTGGGGTTGGATTGCCCTGACCCTGTGCTGACTCCGTCTTGTTTTTCCCTTAGGACTTGCCTCTTCCAGGTCCCATAATATCCAGGTGGAGCTGGGAGAAGCCTGGGTACAGGACAGAGTAGACAAGATTGTATGCACAGCAAGAGGGGCTGAAAGTGGGCCTGGCAGTTGGTATCTCAGGGAGGATGTGGACATGGTGGGGCTCAGGGCATGTCAGAACCATGCCCTGTGCCCAGCGCTGTTTTGGTGCCCAGGCCAGGACTGTCTCATTATCTTCCCTCACCATTCTTGACACTCTGCCCACCTCTTGTTTTCACTCTGACTTCTGACCCAGGATTCTCTCCCTTCCTCCACTCAACATGTCATGGGGGTCTGCATCTCCCTAAAATAGCCCTTGAGACACCATCTACAGTGGCAGTCGGGTCCTCCTGGGCCCTGGACCCACCTTTCCCCCTAGCACACACATGTCCCTCTAGCAGCCCATCCTTGTGTCTTTTGCCTGACCCCTATCCTGTGACATTTACATGTCCAATACTGCACAAAGTTTTCTCAACCTGCCTCCAGAACCCTCATTGTGGAAATCTCATGGATTTATAACCTTGGTTGTATGACACGGTTGTGATGGGGCTGCCTCCGCACTCACTTTACATGAAGTTCACCTGCAGTTCCTCTTTCAGGTACTTGGCATGGAACAGAGTCACCTTCTGAGCAAAATGGTTTTGAAGAAGAGTCACAGGAAAATACTTCACAGGCCTGTCCCTGGAAACTGTGTGGCCTGGCCTTGGAAAGTGACCTGCACCTAGCTGATAACCTGAGAACAAACCCTGGGCAGAAACTGTCGGAGGCACGTGGGAAATTTCAGCAGCTGCAGAAGCAGCACTGTAGGGAGAATCTGTCCAGCAGGAACACAGACAAGGCCTCCTGGTTGAAGAGCTGTGTAGCCCACACACCAGAGAAGCCCTCCATGTGCTCCAAGGCTGGGAAGGACTCCACTAGTACCTTGGGCCTTTGGTGCCAGGGGAAGCCACCCAAGGACAGTGCGGGTGCAAAGGCCTCTCACCGTGGGCAGTACCAGTGCAGTGACTGTGGGAAGGCCTTCTGCCGCAAGTACAGACTTGCTCAGCATCAGAGAGTCCACACTGGAGAGAGGCCATATGAGTGCAGTGAATGCAGGAAAGCCTTCAGCTACAAACACATACTCGTCCAGCACCAGCGAATTCACACAGGAGAGAGGCCTTACAACTGCAATGAGTGTGGGAAAGCGTTCAGCAACAAACCCACACTGGTCCGCCACCAACGCATCCACACGGGAGAGAAGCCTTACCAGTGCAGCGAGTGCGGGAAGTTCTTTAGCCAGAGCTCCAGCCTTAGTGAACATCAGAGGCTTCACAGTGGGTCAAGGCCTTACAAATGCAGTGAGTGTGGGAAGTTTTTTACCTCCAACTCCAACCTCGTTAAACACCAGAGAGTCCACACAGGAACAAGGCCTTATGAGTGTAGCGAATGTGGCAAGTTCTTTAACCAAAGCCCCAGCCTGATCAAACATCAGAGAATTCACACTGGCGAAAGGCCTTATGAGTGTGGTGAGTGTGGGAAACTCTTTAGCCAGAGCTCCACTCTCATGAAGCACCAGAGAGTTCACACGGGAGCCAGGCCTTACAAGTGCAGCGACTGTGGGAAAGTTTTTAGCCAAAATTTTGGCCTCACTCAACACCAGAGAGTTCACAGTGGGGACAGACGCCAGGAGGAGTGCAGGGAATGCAGAGAATTCTCTTGCCTGAGCTCCCAACTTACTCAGCACCAGAAAGTCCATGTCAGAGATGGGCCCCCAGAGTGGGGCAGGTGCGGGAACGGCTTCACTCACAGCTCTGGCTCTTGAGTCCCTCAGGGCCAGCCAGACCTACCTAATGAGTGGAGCAACTGTAGAAAAGGCTTCAGCCTCATCCAACATCAGAAAGTTCACAGGGAACAGAATGTGATGGGGCAGCAGGTACATGAGACCCATGTTTGAGCATCAACTTGAAGTTGAACGTCACATACTGTGGAATGTGGACACTGCCTCTGAGTCCAGCTTCATAGGAGATTTCTCCAGGCTCTCGTCAGCTTTCTGTCACTGAGAGTTTTGTGGTAGAAGCCATCTTGCTCTATAAGCGGCACCACTTGGTGCATCAGTCACCTCCGTGTGATCAGGGTAAGTGACCTCTGTGCTCTTCCCTCCTTCCAGGCATTGTCATCTCTTCCATCTAACTGGCCAGGACTGGCCCTAGCACCACTGACCCAGAGGATCCTGGTGGCATACAGACATTACCTTCTCATGTCCCAAGTCACCCTGCCTGAGTTTGTGTGAAAGACTTCAAGCCCCCTTACATGTTGGGGTTTCTGTTCATGGATATCATTAGGTTGAGAACAGTTGAACAGCTTGTGTGGCTGTCTCAAAACTGTGACTCAGTGGGGATATAGTCTCACATAGCAGACACTAATTTTGCTCCCCTTTTTGGCCTGAGATAAGACTAATCGTGGATGACAGCAGGCCCGGGCTTTCAGTGTCAGTGAGAAAAACATGCGGGAGCAAAGCAGGATCCACACTTCCCAAATTAGGGTTAAAAATGGATCACCACCATTTTATGGATCACAAGCTCGCCCTGAGATGAAAGCAGAGAGAAACGACCAGTGTGTTGCCCCAGCATTGGTGAGTTGTTCTCTAAGGCCTGTGTGTCACAAGGTCCTCATATCTTGCTACAAAATTAGCTAACCTGTACGTCAGGTGGAAATAGAAACACTTGGACAGGAAGTGGACTAATTCTACATGGGATGTTGTTCTATTTCTCAGCTTTAGGTTTTTGCCAAAATCCTGGGGAGCTACAATAATGCCTAGCATCTCTCCAGGCCATAGCTACAGAACCGTGGGGAAAGATGGGGTAGGCGAGAGCAGAAACCCAATCCCTGTAGTTCCAGCGTCTTTGGCAGAGCATTATGAGTTGGGAAAATAGACTTTCACATGAACCATCCATTTCTGTTAAAATTTTATTGTGTAGTGTGCAGTTTGTTGAACATAGCACCCACAATCTCGATCCCTTTCTCCCTGCATCCCTGAGCAACAAGTTTACTTTGATTTTTGTTTTCTTAAATTGTGTCTTCAGTTGCTTTTTCATGGAATGTTTATTAATAAAAAATATTCTGTCTGCTTAGATGTGTGGTTTGCTTGCAGTTTGGCTGTCACCAATAAGCTTACATGTACACAAAAGCCCTAGAGTGTTTCAGTGGGAACTAGTGTAAGCCTGAGTGAGTCCAAGGTACTTTTGCCAAGAATGGCTGTACCCCATTCCCAAACAAGGGCATAGAAAGTTCCAGTGCCTCTAAATCTTACCACTTACACACTTTTTAAATGGCCATACCATACCAAAGATTGGTGCACTCTAGGGTTTTAAAGGGTTTTTAAAAAGTGCACTTTCCTAATTAATGATTTATTATCACGAAGACATCCTCATGCTATTTTGCAAGTTCTTAGTAATGAATGTTGTCCATTGTTCCAGTGTAATTCCATGCTTTTACTTTGCTGAGTGGAATAAATGTTTCTAAATCCTGGAAGCATGTTTCAATTGTTTCTGCTCTCACACCACACACCCTTTTAAAACTTCAAGTCCTCCCTTCATCACTTATTCTCCATCACGGCTCTCCATCCTTGCTGGACATGACAGTCCCCAAATGTAGTAGGGCAATTAGGGACAAAGTATCCTTGTGCAGTAAGTCAGCTGGCATGACTTGTCCAGCCTCTAAGGGAAGGTTTGACACTTGCCAGGACATAAACACCTCTAAAAGCCCTTGAAACATTCTTTATGAAAGTTACAAGTCTTTGCTGCTCATGGGCTTTGGCCACATTCCAGACAGTTCATACTGATAAATTAGATCTATAGACAAAGTAACTAAGGTGTTGGCCACAGAGGCTGTCTGCATGTAGACATGAAGAGAAAATCCAGCAAGGTTTGGTGGGTTGCTTAACAGTAATGCTACTTAAAGTATGTGACTCCACTGGGGGAAGACAACTGGAAGGAAGCTGTCAGGTAGTCTCTGTCATTTTTTTATTTGGCTGATTCAGGAGTACCCTTCAGTGGTAAAATCCGGGGTTGTATGTATGTAATAGGGACAGAGAGTCTCTGGGGAGAGGTTGTAGGTTCACCTCTCACCTTGTTAGAGCTCCATTTCTCATGTTCAGCACATGCTTCATTTTCAGATGCAGCAGTACAGCATCCTGTTTCAGTCATATCACATTGCCTTTCTTCTATAATATCTCTCTGCCTCTTATACAGACACTTGGGATCAGGCCAACTCACCTCAAAATATACACCACGCTTGCAATCTTTTTGCTAATTTGTAAGGTGCCACCCACAAGGTCCAGGAGTGAGGAAGCAGACATTGTGGGAGGATGACATTTGCTTTTAAAATCAACTTTGTTGCAATCAGTATGCAAGTGTGTTTCATAAGCTTTTTTTACCCTTACAGTTTGTTGGAAGTTACTATGGTCATTTAACTACCCTATTAGGATTTCGCTTATTAGGTTTCTGTTAGATTTCTCTGATACTGTTTGACATGCTGACATCATTGTTGGGGAAATGATTAAACTCTCCCAAGGCAGAAAATTTCCACTGTGGTAGAAATTTTATTACTGAATTATATAGCATGAAACTAGTGAACATGATGATTGCACCTCAGACGGTAATCTGCTAAAGAGATTATGGGGAAACCTCACCCTTTATATATATATATAAGGCAGGAATAAAGCCCATTCAAGAGTGGACTTAATAGCACCATTCGTTAGTTCTAAATGTTACATTTTATCCTAAATGTACCTAATATGGATTATCCTCACTGGTAGCTATTTTGCCTTGATCCAAAGGAATAATATTTCTCTAATCTCTGTGACAGGTGGGTTGTTACAATTTAGAGCCAGAGCCTAAACAGGACTGGGGACACTGCAGGTGCTATCTCCCTTGATTTTACTTTACCAAAGAGGGGTGGTGGTTACTGGGATTTTAGAGACTAACATTGGCTACTTGGCATCCCGTCATTCTGTGGACCTGAGCAATAAGATACCTACACTAAGAAGGTCTTGGTGACTAACAGGGCTCAAATTTAAAAGCAGAGCCTAAGCAGCCAGCCATTTTCTACACAGGCTTCTCAGACAAGCTGCACTTCAGGGAGAAGCAGCCTGTAGTAAGGTGGCCGTCTCCTGCACTGTGTTCCTGCCATCTGAGCCAGCCCTTTCCAAAGGAGTTCCTAGGACTGAGGCTCTCCCCATCCAATCAGAGCTGTGCATCTTTATCCCCAATTAGCATCTTCACAACCAATCAGAGCAGCTCCATTCTGACCTCAGACAGTGCTATTTGGTCCAATCAAACTGAGGATTTGGCATTCTCATTTGCATGAGGACAGACCCATCAAGGACTAGGGGACAGGGACTTCTCTCCTTATGTAAGTCAGCTGTCATCTGACTCAGAGAGGGCACTTTCCATTTCCCCTGAAGACTGGTTCCTGGATTGGAGTAGAGGGGGACCTCAATGGGCCACCTCCTCCTAGCAGCCTCCCCTGCTTTTTTAACTGAACTGGTTTCCCATGAACCAGTATGACAAATTGGTGATTCGTGTTGGTGTTGAATTGGCACCAACGACCATCAGAGTTAGCATATCCTCAACTAGGTAACTCTGGTGATCACCAGAACCATACTAACTGCAAGTCAGCTTCTGTCCAATGGGTGGCAGCACCAGGGCTGCACCTAGGCAGTGAGGGTCCAGTATTCAGCCAAATCCACCCAACAACCACCCTGCTAGAGCAGGTGACAGAACATTCCCCACCACTCAGGGGCAACTGATTGTCACCTGGGGAAGTGCGTGGAAACTATTGTCACAACTTGAGTTTCAGTGGTTGCGCCACTGCGTGGGAGCTGAAATCTGAGGAGAGCTGTGGCTCCTCAGACCCCAGCAGCCCAGCTTTAGGATTCCACACTGGTACCTTGACAGACATGGGAGGGATTCGCCTCCACACTAACCCCCTCCCCCCGTCTGCCGCCACATGCAGGACGAAAACTTCAGTACTGCCCGCCTCTGAAAGGTACCATCATCCACTTCCCCCAGTGTTGGAGGACTTACTTCTCAAGTCTAAACCATTCTCGTTGCCCCTGCTTGTCCCTCCTGGCAACCGCAGCCCCTCGCCACAGAGGATGGAGGCTACAGAGGGAGGCAGGGAGCCTGAGGCATCTCTGGAGAGTAAAGTAGGTGCCTCTGCAGGAGCCAACAGCAGCACACCATCCAGCGCGTTCTGTGTGAGCAGAGGCTTCAAGGCCCCCAGGGTTCTGATCTCAGAGACTCTTGTGGGGCCACCGAGCAGCATATCCCTAGATGCACTGGGATACAGGGCAGCAGTCTGGAGGAGGAATAACTAGCACTCAAGGCACAGAGATAAGGCGGCCCTCGACCCACATTGATGGAGATAGAGAGACTCTAAGGCTGTGGGGAGACAGGGACAGAAGCGGCGGCAGTGAGGCACTGAGCCCCTTGTTGCTTCGTGACCACGCAGCCTCCGGTGTGCTCCTCTCTCCACACTGGTACCTTGACAGACATGGGAGGGATTCGCCTCCACACTAACCCCCTCCCCCCATC